TTGACAATGATGATTAAGACGTGGACCAGAACCGATTCCCGGGAAGAGGGTCAGCCACGGAATAGCCCAATGGTGTTAATAGCCGTGCTGCTGACCATCCCCCAGGAATACGGAGTTGTATGTACGAGGTACCGAGCACAAGCTACTCGTACCGTGGAGCGAGAGCGGGGGAGCGCGGTGTCAATGTTTGCACCGTGTCTGACCGAGGAGGGAGCGGCCGTGGTTGCCGCGAGGAGGATGGAGGATGACTTTTGTTTGAGGGCGTTTGTGGCTGACGAAGAGGCTGATGGTGGGACCAGTGGGAAGATGAAGATGACGTTTGAGTCTAGACTCTCTCTACGAGGTCCAGTGTAAGAATGTGGCAAGTAGGTATAGCTGGTGAAAAAGACAGCTACTTGGTGTTTAGAGGCGCAGGCAACTGGCTCCCTTTACGACGTCTACCAAGCACCCACACCCACACCTACACTCACACCCACCTCAACGTCACCATATACTACTAATGAGACTGCTCTAGTATATTTCCATGTCTGAAACACTCTCATATCTGAGACTGTACAGTAAATTGCTAGCTAGCCGTACTCGTATATAGATTGTCTTCTTCGCCTAGTCACAGCATTCCGCCCCCTTCCCAATTCGCTCCTTCAACCTAGGCCGTCACCAGAGGAGGCACACTGTACTGAGCTGGCTTCGCCTCCAGCGGGTCTGGGGGCACAGGCACCTCCTTGCCGGCGTCTTCGATTTTTCCCGACAGGAATGCCAGGGGGATATTAGGCCCCCAGATGTGTAGGGTATCGGGAGCTGCTGCCTCCCTGCCAAACGGCGTGTCTTCATTGACCAGGTCACCGTCCGAGTAGTGCTCCACTATATTTCCAGAGCCGTCGAACCTATCACCAACAAAGTCAGCCAACAGTTCCAGAGGAGGATCGCAATGCCAGAGGCTCAAGACATCCATACCAGTAGTCGAAAATCTGACTCCCGAGAACATGTCGCCCAATGCCCCAGCAATTCGTCCAGCCCTTGTCTCGGAGCCAGTCGTGACCAAGGGTCTGCGTGTCAAAGTCATTGACTTCATAGCTCGAATGATGAACAAACACAGGGCGTCCCTCGGGCCCGGATGCGACAAAGAAACTCTGCCCCCCCGTCAGTATGCCGTGACCAGCCAGACCGCGTATAACTCACATGGTGATCCGTATATTCCGGTCCCAGGTCTATATGGCAAAAGCATGTCTCATCTTTACCCGTCTCTGGGTTGAAGACGGCGTCGGTCGGCTTCAGATTGATGAGGTCGAGGTAGAAAGAGAGCGTGCTCTCGAATTTGCTCCCCGGGACGATAAACCCATAGTGACCCAGCTTGTGCACAGGGGATGCACCTGGTTTGAAGCGTCGGAATGTCCCCTTCCGTGGTTTTTGGATAGCAGTGTTTGATATTGGTTCAGTCTTCTCGAGAGGAGGCACTGGACCATCCGACTCTCTCAACTTCTGCCCGTAGACAAATCCAACTTTGTAGCCATTGGGATCCTCGACCGTCACCACCTTTCCACCTCCGGGTGCATCACTGTCCTGAATGGGAGAGGCGCCTGGACGAGCAGCGGCTGTTTCCAGATCTTGCAGGCTATCCACCACCCAGTAACCCCCAAGGAAATGTCTCTTGTTGTCTGGAGATCTCTCGGCCACGTAGACGACTGGCTGGCTCCCGTACCCGCGCAGGTACACGCGGTCCGGTGTTCGGTGCTCCTCGACAAAGCCAAAATCGAAGAGAAAGGTGAGTGCCTTTTCCAGATCTGGGTGTTGGTATACAACGTGCGCCAGTCGGACAACACGAACTCGCTTCCCTGTCATGGCGTCTTCCTTTTGACGATCGGGTTGGGCTGTTGCGTATCGTCGTAAGATGGGTTGGTGTTCAAGACGTCTTACACAGACGCAAGCTATGCCTTCCAGAGGAGTTCCCTTAGGGTGCAATATATCAACACTTCCCAGACCACACCGCGCAATCCGGCCGCACAGGTTAATGACAAATTGTGGGAAGGGATAATATCGTCCCGCAATCCCTCTCTCCGGTCTTGACAAGATCCGAGATGGGCAACTTACGGCCACGGTCATGGCCGGCTTCAGCAATCCACCGATCACCGCCCACGTGACAACATCTTTGATGAATTCCCGCTCGGTGCGGCGCGGCATCCGGCACATTGGTATAAAAAGCCAAGATCGAAAGCAGTGGCTGGCATGCATCCCTCCCTTCCAGGCAGGAAGCATTGATTTACCCGAGAGCTCGGCGGCGCTATCATTGACTCGGGCCACTCATCCAGGCATGAAATCCAAGTCTTGGTATCCACCAAAGAAGTCCGAGAACCCAAAGTCGATCTCATTGCTTCCATCATAGAAATGAGGTTGAAGCAGAGGAAAGGTTTGAGGGTCAAACATGGGAGCTTGATAGTTGGCCATGTTCGTTTGGGCAGGCATGTCTAGCGATGTGGGATACTCTTCCTGTGTAGCGGGTTGTTGTTGCTGCACCTCTGTGGGCCCTGTGTAGGGAACACTGTCGCTGATTATCGAGGTCTTCCTCTCTCGTCGATTGAGATCCGGAGGGCTGTTGCCGATGAGTCGCGGCATTCGGAAAAATACTGCATATCTTTTGGCTAGCTGTCTCTCCTCAGCGTTAAGCACGCCTCCTCTCTCAAGAATCTTTGCCAGCTCTATTCGAATGGTCAGAATGAAAATGCATTCGAGGACTGTTCAGTTCTTACCTGACACCACGGAACCCAACTTCCACCTCTCGCTGAAATGTGCGAGGACCAATTTCCCCAAGTCGTGACTAGAAGCGATCAGAGGCTGGGTCCTCAGGATATCACCATCCACGTAGTAAGGCGGAAGCATCATGCATGTAAAAAAAGGGTGGGCGACCGCAATATACCGAGAATCCCAAAGACTGATGATCCGCGACAAGTCGATGGCGCGCTGTCGGAGCGGTGATGAGCTGCCACCACCCACACTCGACACACTGCGATCGTCGTTCTCGGCAGTGATAATTCCAGAAACCATAAAGGACGCGGCCATCAACATGAGGTGTGTGCCAATAACCCAGTTACAGCGGGCAAAGGTCGCTGGAGTGAATGTCAAAGTCTCGGCGTCGAGTCGAAGCGATGCAGGAAGGGCAAGTTTGAAACAGCAGATTTCGTTCTCCAGCGTCAATTTCTCATCTGAGGAAATGTCTTGTTTCTGTTGCAATCGATCATGGACCGTCGCCATGAAGTGATTGGCAACCAAGAACCACGCCCGTTCGTCTTGGTTGTTATTGCCCTGCAACGACCTCCACGATTGACCGGGTAGCATGTTAAGCTCTGCAGATGACATCTCGATTTCGGCAAACCAAGCTTCGTCAGAGATTGGTAGCGCTACAGCCATCCTTTTGCGATCAATTGCATAAGGGTTCCGGGAGACCGTGGATGCAAATGTATCGAGTTCCCATACCGCCCACCAGACTCGCCTGCATTCTTCCTTCTCCACTGAGTCTGTGGGCGTGAGAGGGCTCCAATCTTCGTCGTCAATTTCGGAGAGTCCCAAGTCATAGGCTAATCTGACACAGACCCCAATAAGGATCCAGCCTTGGTGCGTCGGGCCTGATGTGTAAAAGTAGTAGGCTAGGAGAATACAGCCTTGTAGATAGGTCAGCGACGGACTCCGTACGGAACGGGCTTTGGCGTAGCACTCGCGCGCTCGCTGGGCGAACTCGTGTCCTCGCTTGTTTGGAGCAATTCCGGCAAAGACTGGATGGTTGGAGAATCTCGCCGACATGGCAAACATGCTATAGAATAAAAGCGATTCGTCGACTGAGAATCCTTTCATCACATCGCCGTCAACCAACAGGGACTTTTCGTACTTTGCTAGAAATCGCGGCCGGTGGAGGATGGGGACCCAGGCCTGTATTTTGTCGAAGAAGACATAGATCAGATCTATGGCCACTGAGCAAGAGATTTCGCCACCAAACATTGAGGGCAGTGTTGGCGTCGAGAGTTTGGTGGTGGGTTCCGTTGAGATGGGAGGTGGCGATTGTTGCAAGTCTTCCCCGTCCATTTCAGGCCCTAGTTCCTCGGTATCCTCCCCGTCAGAGACGGAGTCATTCTGGTCGTTCTGCTCAGCTCCGCGGTCCCGACCCTCAGTAGTGCGGTTCTCGGTCTCATCGATCTCGGCGAGGAGACCTTTAAGCGAATCTCGAAGTAATGTCTGGGGAATTCCTCGTCGGCCATCTGACTCAGCCGACCCTTCTCCTGCCCGAGAAGCCGCGTCAAGCACCTGAACTAACTTGGACAGGCTGTCACTAATCTTGCGAGATTGTGTTTTGAGCTGGGGTTTGCGCGTGGGCTTTTTTCTTTTCAAGGGGAAGGTGCAAGAATTGCCCGTTCTTAAACAAAGGCCACAAACGGGTCGACGCATATCACATTTTGTCTTTTTGCGGTTGCACTCTTGACATGCTCGGCGCGGTTCATGTTGCGGGACAATGGCTTCGGTATCGGCCATGATGGTGCCCTGAGGAGCTACGCAGCTCGTCGGTTGAGATGCACAAACATTGAAGTTGGCGCACGGACACTCGCAATATCACTGCCACGAGGGTTGAAAATGGAAGAAATGAGATGTTTTACTGGCCCATGAATCTGACTTGGACTCGACGGTTGACACTCCGGCGCTAAACCAGAGATAGTTACCGTCATATCCTCGATGTGAACGGAGAGTGGACGATGAAGTGGGGGCTAATGGTGGGGTGCCGAGGCTGGGGATCTTGGCATGGCACGTGCAGGGCCAAGCTGACTAATGTCAAATCCGTCTAGCCACCCGTGCCACCGAGTCACGCAGCCTTACGCTCATCAGGACAAGAGACGAGGCTCTAAGGCTCTTTTACTAGGTACAAGCAGCTCAGTTGCAGCCCGGCCAATTCTGTATCAACCAGATCAAAGCACGGTCAAATACGAAAAATTGTGGTAACTTCATCAAGATTCCTGCTGTTGTTAGACGGCTTTCCCTCTTCTTCTTGGCAGTTCGTCAGATGGTTTTCTCCCTTCTTTTGGCAGTGTATGCTCAGATAGCCCATTGACCGTCTGGAAATCTCGGAGAAGATCGGGTAAGCTCTCGTCCACGTAGCCGATGTCGATGGTTTTGGCTGTATACTGCACGTTGTACACTCGAGCATAGTGGAGGCGGCTGGATCCGGCGAGATTCTGTTCAGGATTTGTTTTCTTGACGGCGATAGGCCTTTTGTTCGACCTGGGTTCTTTGAATAGCAAGTGAGGTGCTGTACCTTCCACATAAATCACCGCATGCGCGTTGACATCTTTGGGAGAATGAATGAAATTGAGCAACCCTCGTTGATCGTAAGTGTTGACTTGTATGCACTCACAATAGCCACTATGCGCTTGGACGACCACCATAGTGTGGACAGAACTGGAAGTCTGGCTCCCCAAGCTTCGCTTGTTTCCGCTCAGATTCACTGTTCCTGGTGCTATAATGTCCATCCTCTGTGGTTCAATGTCTTGTTCATCCCGGAGCATGGCAAACACACGACCCGGCTGATAATATGCTGGCGGCCTTGCAATGTATCTAGCGTCTATCCTCGAAATAGTTTCATCTGATGCCCGCTTGGAAGGAAACGAGGATGATCGGGGTTGCCAAATAGTTAATTTGGCATTCATGAACGTTGATGGACTTATTGTTGAGGTAGAAACTGGACCAGGAGAAGTGCTTTCGAGATTCTTCCCAACTTCCGGGAGGTTTTCAGGGAATGGCAATATACTTGTGTTTTCAAGCCCTTGAAGATCACGGAATGTGTCCGTCGAAATGCTGCTCGTATCTGAACGAAAATCTCTGTTCTCGGCAAAGTATGCCTCCTCTGTGTAATAGATGCCTGCTTCATTTGTGGTGCTGTCATGATCATCGTGCGGTGATTCAGTGTGAGACATCGAGGGTTCTTGTAAGCCTAGCCAAGATGCCACCTTTGTGCGTCCTTTATCGATAGCGTCAGGATGGCAAATTGGGTTATCGGGAGCCCATGGAAGGGCTAGTAGGGCAAAATCATGTATGTGCTCAGCAATATGTCTCCAGCTCGTTCGAGCTGTTCGTGTACCGGCCTCGACGGTCGGTCTGCACAGTGGACACGACAATGTGGTGGTGGCTGGCGACATGGATGTTTCGAGAACCGTTGGAATTTGATGGGTGGCGATTGAATCAGAGTGTTTTTGCTTGATATGGCCAGAAAGAATTGAGCAGTCCCCATATAGTACACCATCGGCGCACATCAAGCAGGTCCAAGACTTGCCATCTGGGTGCTCTGCACCAGTCATATGAGACATCCAAGCTTGATGGGTAGCAAAAGTAGCCTCCGGTGTAGGACACTGGTCGTAAATACATGTATACGGACATACGTCCTCGGCGAGATGTCTCCTCCACCGGTTCCCGAACAAAAATGCACGGTTCAAAGTCTGACAACAACAAGGACACTTGAAATATTTGACATTCGATGATATTTTCGGCGGGTAAGGGTATCGTACTCGCGAGGTAGTCGAAGAGATCTGGGAAAACGGTGCCGGAAGGTTTTCGTCAAAAAACCCTGTACTGGCCTCAAACTTCGTTGCCATTGAACTGTCGTTGGACGCTTTCGGTACGGTGGTGGCGGAGAGGTCTTTCTCGGCTGAAGCAATGTCATTCGGCTTTGCGTCCACGGTCATTTCGACTGCAGAAGGGTTCGCCGCCGTTCGCGAATGCTTCTGGGCGTAAAGAAAGCGGTTTCGCCTCCTGAGATTAGCATTGATCAGGCGTCGTTGAACAGGAGTTAACTCTTCATTATCACCCATGGTCCGGGGGGAAGTAGAAGGACCTTTGCTTGTCCGAACCAAGACCCAGAAAATGAGAAAACTTTCGAGAGCAGAATGTTCTGAAGCATTGAATACCGAATCAGCCTTCTGGAGGCGGAGTTGATGTCCCGTCCGACGCACTGCAAGGCTGACATTCTTCAATTGGTCAAGGATAGACTCAACGCTCTGCATCGCTTCAGCAAGACGTCCGTCGCTCAATCGCTCTTTACCGTCAGAATCGGAAGCAAAACTGGACTGGTCAGACCATGGAGATATTGACCTCGAGGTCCGGCGGCTGGAAGCACGCTGCGTTCCTGATGATCTGCCCCTCTGTATCCGAATCGGGCCTTGAGTCTGGGATTTCTGTGCTGCCCAACTGAGGTATTGCTCCAACTCAGCCCCATGGGTAGTGAGACTCGTGGCCTGGCACTCTCTGATGAAGACGCCCAACAATCGTAGAAGGTCTGCGAAGACACTGAGAAGGGTTGGCTTTTGGCTAAGCCTGTCACCCAGAGACGACTCGTACATATCGGTCATGCCTGCGCCAGTTTCTGAGACCCAGAGTCTGAAAGCCGCAAGTTTGTTCTCGGCCCACTCGTGCTCCATGAGCAGCCGATTGTGCAGGCATTCTTCTAGCAAGCCATCACATTTTTGCGTCAGGACGGAGACATTCTGGACATCGGCAGGGCTTTCCAGCTCTTTGTCGCTCATTTAGCAGTGTCCAGATCTTAAGGAGCTCTCGGACTCTTTAAATGGGATGGTATTGGCGGGAATATAGAATTATCTAGGTGGAAGAGAAGGTCAAAGGCGTTCAAGTCGAAGTGAGGCTGAAAGCGCAGGCTGGGTCAGTGCGGGGTTGATGGATGCACATCAAGAGTTGAAAGGTGCGTGCAATCAGGCTGAACTGACGATGAACGATCTGTCATCCTTCTCCATTTTTCATGCTCGTCTCCCTCGCGGTTGCAGCGTGTCATTCGCCATGGCCGACGACGATATCGATGATCTCGATCTCCTCGAGTCTGCGCCAGGCACTCTACTCGCCATAGCACGCGTATCCACCACGGTCGGCATCAAGAGGCTGCACCAAGGCTTGGGGAATCTTGGAGGAGAGTTGGCGGCGCTTTCCGAGATCATCCAGAGATCCGAGAGCACATTACAGGGGGAGAAGTTCAAGAGGAGGGTCAGGAAGCTTCTTAGAGCGCTTGCGCGAGCCTGCACTGTCTATGAACCCCAATCCCTGGTCACTTGAGAGTCTCTAATCCTTGTCGATAGTGGCATCGCGAAGAGCCCAGTGAAGACTTCATCTTTTTATTGCGTCTCTCGGAGCGATCCTCGTCGTCCAGCAGAGTGGAAGCTGATCTAGAAGCAGGGCTACTGGCGTATGCTTCTGCAGGAAAATTGCCCAAGCTCATTGCTCTTGTAAAAGGCTTCGCTGGTCACCAGCCCCAGTCGGCAACAGCGGAAGACTCGAGGCAGTCCTTTTTTGGTCGCCGTCCCGGGCAGCTTACTATGCAAGAAGATTACCCAAATCACGTCAGACAGCAGCTTTATCAAACGCTTCGAGAGCATTCCAGATGCGTGTGCGTTGTCGAAACTAGTGAGTCTGCGGACGCCGTCCCACAAAACAGAAGGCATTTGTCTAGGTTGCGGCTGAGGCCGTCCCGCAATGTCAACCAGACATTCATTCGGTATGACATGGTCTTTTCCTCTCGACCAGTGCTCTCGTCGACTCTCAAACGGATAGACTGGCAACATATGCAGTTCCAAGTCCCCAGGTAAGCCAAATCGTTCAACAGACGAAGAATATTCCAGCCTCTAATCTTTAGTCTAGTGAAAGACTGGGTAGGGAAGGTGCTGGTATTTCGAGTCGAGACTCATCACTGCATCATCTCCCCGTAGAACCACGACTGTGCAATTACATGATCTCGCCAAAAGACTATCAGATATGTCTCCAAGTGCACAGGAACTATCTATGGTTACTTTACAATCGCTTGCCACTGGAAGCGCATGTCACCGCTTCCCCATCACTGTCTCTGTCAGATACACTAGAAATTGGACGCCTATCCGACAAGATGAAGGTCATTCTCGCATACATCATTGCGATATCCGTCTGGGAATTCTATAATTCTGATTGGATGTCCAGACCATGGAGTGCCGATGACATACATTTTCTGCAAAAGCAGCCAGGAATTGACCGTTCGGCGCCCGTGATTTTTGTCAACAAACCTTACTTGGCAGTACAGATGGAGGAAAGCGACGGTCACGAGAACGACTGTAGCGGCATTGTTGGTCAAATTCACCAGTACCCCAAGATCCTGGCTCTTGGGTGGTTATTGATCGAGATAGCCACCGGCATACGAGCCAGAGATCTTTCGCGAAATGATGAAGTTAACATCAACTCGGAATGGCTATCAGCACAAGAATTCTTGTCCCGAGGGATGCCATGGGATACTTTCGACTACAGGAAGTACTGGGAAGCTGTGCGTAATTGTGTCAGCAATCAATTCATCACCGAAGGTCCCGCATCTGGCATTTCGCTTGTCGACATTGAAGATACGCGTTTGATGATCCTCGAAGACGTTGTTAGGCCATTGGAAGACCTACTTGTTGGAACGGGCTGGATACATGATATCTGGACCGTAGGATCGGTGAAGCCGCTGATGGCAAAGCCAATTTTAGCCGCTGATGCATTGCTGGCAGGGAACGCTAACGGCCCCAGGCATAATAATACAATGCAACCACAGTCGAACGGAATAGGTGCTCAGTCTCAGACTGTAGCCGAGACAATAATTCCGGCCGATGTCAGTGTCCGCTCTTCAACTCAATCCCGCCCGCGCACGCGTCAAGACTTTGGAATTGGTATTATCTGTGCTTTGACTATTGAAGCAGATTGCATCATTTCTTTGTTCGACCAACACTGGGACGATGACGACCACAGATATGGCAAGGCGTTGAAGGACCCCAATGCCTACACCATCGGCCGAATAGGTCATCATAACGTCGTCGTCGTTCATATGCCCTCTACGGGGAAAGTCAGTGCGGCCAGTGTCGCCTGGGGTTTGGAATCGAGCTTTTGCAATATTCAGCTTGTATTAGTCGTGGGTATCTGCGGAGGGGTGCCATACTATCGTCATCATGGCAAGCGAGAAATCTTTTTGGGAGATGTCATTATCAGTCGATCGCTCATCCAGTACGATTTTGGCAGGCAGTACCCGACGGGTTTTGAATGTAAGGACTGTCTGGAAGGAGGATCAGGGAAGCCTCCTGTGGAGATTCGGTCGCTTCTCGCCAAACTGGAGACATCACATCATCGACGACGATTAGAGCGCAAGGTGAATCGCCTTCTGGAAGCCCTTCAGGCCAGAGATGAAAGGGTGGCATATCCTGGAGCGGAGGCAGACACACTATTTGCGTGCTCTTCACTGCATCGACACCATGAGGCTGGAAACTGTCAGACCTGTCAGTGGGCGGAACCCGATGGCATTTGTCGCGCCGCCATCAAGAGCAGCTGCGAAGATTTGGGATGTTACAGCAAGGGTATCGTTGAGCGCACACGTTCCCAGAGTGGCACTCAACCTGGCCGTACGGCAGGAGAAAGAAGCTCGTACCGGCCAGCCATCCACATAGGCATCATGGGGTCGGGGGACACGGTGATGAAATCCGGCCGTCACCGAGAGAAAGTTGCGCTAAAGTACGACGTTGTCGGATTTGAGATGGAGGGCGCGGGAATCTGGGACTTCTTCCCTAGCCTCGTCATCAAGGCCGTGTGCGACTATGCCGACAGCCATAAAAATAAGAAGTGGCAGATGTATGCCGCCGCCACAGCGGCAGCGGCCACGAAAGCATTTCTCGAGGAATGGAGGCCCGGAAGTGGACCGCCTGTGGACTGAACGTTAACACCCGCAACCCAATTCGGACAGTCGTCATGCAAGGACTGGTGAACGAAGCACCAGGGATTGTGCCTGTGGCATCGATCAGGGGCGCCTCAAGGGCGTCCAATCCTTCAGCCTGGTGGACCCTTGGTCGGCAGCCTTGCAGTCATCAACAAGCACAGGGTAGGCCTCGATTCACGGAGAATGATCCGAAACACCAGTCAGTGAGATAGCACCGACAAACAATGGCGGTTCTCCGAGTGGACTTTTCCATCTCACTAATAGACTTCACTCCAGGAACAGGACGACTCGTCCATTTCTCTCTACTTTGGGCCTTGCTACGAGTGGGGAAGTGGTCGATGCACGCCAATATGACCCAAGAATACCTGATCCGAGGTTGTAAGAAGACTGACCTCGGGAACAGAATTGGAACTACAGACGAATTACCCCAGACGAGGCTTGGTACAAAGAGCGCAACACAGTACTCGGCATTCCCCGAGTGGTCAGGACGAGTTTCCGACCTAGACAAATACGCTAGGGAATTTTCAATGGACGAAATCAATGGCGACTCTTTGGGTTTCTGAGCAATCAGCATCGTTCTGAAGCAAATCTTGGATCCCAAACCATGTGGGAGGCCCAAACCGCAACGAGCTGCTCCCGTGGGGACTTGTTTTCCTAACCACGAATAGCCACCGAATCCACGCGAAAGACAACGTCTAGGCCTCGCCAGCATGTATTCTAGTCCTAGCCAGTGGATCCTGTGGCTACAAGTACAAGGTGGCCCTCACCAATTCGCCTGCGCAATAGCAACGTATGGCCCTCCCCCAGGTTTCTCAGCGAAACTAGCCGCAAAGGCCAGGAAACAAGTCTCTGGGCCCTTTACGAGGTACAGCCTAACGACCCCTCACTTGGCCAATCGTCGAGGGCAGGGAAGACTGAACTCCTCCCCGGGAAGTATCATCTTCCCCCACTCAGCCACCAGAGCCACCACCCAAGAAGAAAACCCCCACTAGCTGGCCAGGACTTTGGTTTCTTTCCCTGTGTCTCCCAGATCCGTGAAGGACTGAGGAGAGCCTAAGGCCTAGTGGTTCTCGACCTGCTGAGACCAACAAAATAGCCAGTTGGATTCTTCTCTCCTTCCTGAACTGCTAAGTCCTTTTCGCGATCCTCCGGATTATCAACCAAACCCACCAATCGTGGGCAAAGGTGCCGTCCTGCTGACTTGATCTTCGAGGACGAGAACAAACCGCGTATTATTAGCCGCGTTGTGTCTTTGAATTCGAGGCAGACCATCGGGAGCTTATAATTGAGAAGAACCAGCTAACTATCTAGCCTCTCCCGAGCCCGGGAAATCATCGCCTATAGCCGTTGGCAACCGGCACACCTACGGAATCCGGCAAACGGCTACCACTTGCACAAGGACCGGAATGGGTTCATCTCTTCTGGACTGTACAGCAACTTTCCCTTTGCAGCCCTTCGTACAGGAGTGGTGGGTTTGGAACTACACAAGAAGTCTCAGGGTCGAGAACCAAGCGATCCGAAGTCGGCGGCAGCGCTTTCTTTTCAAACATGAACAAACGATGACTCGGTTCCTCGGCCCTCGCGTAACTCACTAGAGAAATGTCAAGTTTTCTTCTATTTCCGCCAAACTGTTTTCTTGGGACTCCCAGAGTGACTAATTGGACCCTGCCATGGTGATCCCAAAGGCATGGCACATGGCGCTTCGGGATTCGGTTCAGCTGTCCCTACAATTCGTGTGATAAGGCCGGTGAACACCACACGCTACTGGTCTGTATGCTGGTTAGCCCGAAATTCCGTGGGAAGTCAAAAAAGATATGG